GCACAAATCTGAACGGCTCGACCTATGCTCTTAATATTCGGTGTATAGTGTGATGGGCAGGAAACCCATCACCAGTGCGAAATTGGAGGTCACAGGTCAAAGGGCAGTGGGGGAAAGTTCAGATATCAGACATTTTCTGAGGACATGGCCTAATGGACAGAGTGAAAAACTTTTTTGTTTCAGCGCTAACCTACCATTTTTATCACTTTATTGAAAGGACCATGAAATGTGCTTTCCACTGACGTGCAAAGAGTAAGTGTCTCCTTTTGACCCTCGAGAGGAGGGTTAAACATGGATTTGTTGACTGTTAACAAAGGACTGAACTGCTTTTGGCATTATCAGAGCCATATATACCTGTGTGGATGTGAGGCTACATTTGCAGTTCAATTGCAAAGACAAAAGTTTGTTGAACAAGGTTTACGCTCCTTAAATCATATTATTTTCTAAAGCTGTCTGTATATTAATAGCACCCTGAATGCTCGCGTGGCTACCGTCATTCGAAATGTAGGCAAAAACCCGGGGGCAACCCATTACTCATGCATTGGGGTGAACTGGCACTTCTATTCTAATAAACATGCACACCTGCAATGGAGATGTGTTTAATTTATTACTCACAGCTGAGCAAAATTGTCGCCTGCCTGAATATACTTGGATTTTAGCCTGTGAATTTCAGCAACTCAATGAAATTAGGTTATCTCTACTTTCTTGACTTATCACCAACGTACGAAGGGCGATGCCATCTTTGATTATTGATTACACTTGCACGCGCCATCTCGTGCCAACTATAGGCTAGTTCTACATTATGACACGATAAGACATTCGAACAGGTATGAAGTAGGATGCAGTGTTAAGGTTTAGTTTTAGTGTTAATACCTATGCTAAACAGTTTTGATGACGACGTAGCCGATTTAGCGATGGAACAGGCTTTCAACCTTTTGCAGTTCAGAAACAAAGGCCAGTACAGTAGAGGAGCAGACCTCAGATGAGCACTGTCGCTCATGCGGCACTTGTTTTCAAATTATCTTGTATAATTTAAAGTTTTCTCAAATATAACAGCATAGCTAGTGTTTGCCCTAGCCAATAATCCGCCTGTAACTCGGCTGTCTTTTTATATGCACAGATATATGTTCTTTGCCAAAGGAGGTGGGAACCTGTCATGGTACTTTCCCACGCTGGGTCTATGACTCCTCTACAGGCCTCTGTGAGAAGTTTATATACTCTGGTTGTCATGGCAACAAGAACCGCTTCTTTACCAAGGGAGAGTGTGAGACTCACTGTAATTCCACACGGTCTCTGAGAGGTCAGCACATGTCAATAACCATGTTAACTGGATTAAATTAGTGCATGCATGAATGTTTTTTATTCTCGTCTGTATGTTTTTGTTTTGTTTTACAATTGCCATTATTGTATTCCATATTGTATAAATTCAAACATTACAAATCTTAGAATTTATTATTATAGTTATTCAGGGATATTCCTAGGGTATTTCAGGCCAGAAGGCATGTCGGCCATTTGGGCAATTCATCCCTATTTGCTAATTGGGGTCAATTGTGCATGTTGTAAGTGGCCCCTAATACACAGGTCAATTCTAAAATTCCCAGCTATGAAAACACAGAATGACTGTGTTATAATTGTTAAAAATTAACACAGCTAGAAATCAAAACATGTTGATTAAGCAATTTAGGCATTACGGAGGATTTATGGGATGCCAAAAATTTGCTTCAGCTTTGAGGGCAGGGTGGACCTGATGTACCGTTACAGGTCTGGTGGTGGCACTGGTTGTTGCATATCTAAAGTAGAATGATCGAGGATTTGTTAGAGAGATTACTGCATTTCTGTTGACCATTTTTTTTCTAGATGTATGCACTATGCCCAAGGTGGAAGGTTCATGCAGTGAAAACCTTGTGCGGTGGTTTTATGACATCTATAATGGTCAGTGTAAGCCATTCTACTATGGAGGCTGTGAAGGAAATGGCAACAGGTTTGAATCCAGGGATGAGTGTGCACGAGTATGTGGTGATATGTCCACTCTCGGTAAGCATTTGTCAATCTTAGTGTGACTGACTGTGGAACTTTTAAGGTATAATCTCACAGCACATATTCAATTTGAGTATTTCTTGCAATATCAAATGGCATTCTTATTGCCACTACTCTATGATGCATTTTGTGGCCATCTCTTGATGACTCAAAAGCATGCTTTGTATATATCTAGAAGGAATTCTCAATTCAGTGAGATGTGGCAATAATTAGAGTATGATATTTAAAAGATAGTGACGTGACATTGTACCTTTACATTCTTCAGTGAGTGTTATTGTAAGATTATCAGTATTTAGATTGATAAATGTGAATGTAACAAATCGCATGCTTTGACACTGTAGACTTTCATGACAGTGGTGACTGCACTGCCAATTTCTTAGAAACTAAGGTTTTTGCGGAACATATAAATTGCTAAGAAATTGCAAAGATTCGGGTTCCATGTATTTTGAGGATCGCTGGTAATATCTTTAGTATCTCTTTCAGATACTGGTTCGATGTGACCTTTAATTCACGTGCATACACCTCCATTCTATATATTTATGTTTAATATATTTTGTCAATCTAATTCATTTTGTTTTTTCTAGATAACTTTATAGAGTTGTAGGTTCATCTCAACCTAGAGGTAGGACTGTAGCAGCTGCTTATTGGTTGGTGATGCAACACCTTGTCTGAACCAAGTTTGTGTGAAGGTTTAGATGGTAAAACATTGTGTAGTCCAGCGATTTAGTATTGAGTGTCGTTTCCCAGGCCCTGCAGATGTCTGCTCATTGCCAAAGGAAGTTGGACCTTGTCAAGAGAGACAGGAGAAATGGTTTTATGATGCTGCCCAGATGAGGTGTGTCATGTTCCATTATGGAGGCTGCGAAGGAAATAATAACAGATTCAACACACAGTACGAGTGTGAAAATCGATGCCTGGCAGAGACGCACACACCAATGTACATTGCAACGGCTGCACCTGAGGGTAAATCATTCCTCTTGCTCCCGTATGTTGTTTGCTTTCTTTTGATGTCGTAACCCCAACCCAACTCCAACCCTTCACGTCTGCACATACCCACCTGGAATGAAATTTGTGTTAAATTCGTTACCCAAGACTTGCCTATGTCTTGCTTGCTACTGCTAGTACATAATATTGTCTTGGTGAATGCAAAAATTGACTTTAAATCATCACAAACAATTATAATAGCAAAATTCCTGCAACACTCAATTTAGAAGAAAAGGTCCCTAATCCCTATTACATACAGTTTTTTTTTTAACTAATTGGTAGTTATTTGCCACAGCTTTCACCTGACAAATCTTACCATGTTACTTAACTAGTATCTGAAAGTAATCAATATTAATGCTTTCACACTTTATTACTACGGCACATAATTTGTTCCTCTGACCATGAATTTAGATATCTGCACACTGCCCAAAGAAGCTGGACCATGTGGAAATTGGGTAGCAACCTGGTGGTTTGACAGCAATGATGGCATCTGTAAGCCATTCTACTATGGAGGCTGTGATGGAAATGACAACAGGTGTGTAAGAAAAGCAAACTGTGTTGCTCCTATAATTAAATAATATCAGTAACACGTCTTTTTTGGTTTGGCTAGAAAGACCACACCATTCGTGTAAAATATAAAGCCTCACCAAAATAAGAAATGACATGTTATTGACATTTTCAATCGTATGAGCGACATTGTAAAAACCCGTTTATGGCAACTTGTGCAAGCAACTGCAGGGAATGCGTGACCAGGTATATCTACAAGAAAAATGAAGAAAAACGATTTTGTGATAAATTACAGCCAGTTAAGGCGGTAATGGCAATAAATCTATGGATTTACAAGAACAAAATGTAAACGTTTTCACGATTATATGGATCATATAGTACCCTACTGTAGTATTCAAACATTAAAGTGATTTGGCAGTAAGACACATGACGTGTTTTCCATCATATCATCTATCCAGTCGTTATCTGTATAATCATGCAGTTAATTTCAAAAACGGTAATTTTTATGCAGTGTACATAAACACATTCATTTGTTACTAGCTTATAGCTAAAATGTGAATTTCACAAGTTATCTATAATTGAAAGCCAATATTTGCATTTTTTATAGGTTTGACACGCCTGATGAGTGCCGGCAACGGTGCGGACGCTTAGCAACAACTTTACCACCAACAACTGCTGCCCCTACAGTTGAACGTGAGTATATTAAAAATTAATGGTACTTAAACTCCATAGATAATCGGTCTGTCTTATTTTAGAGAAAATAGAGTGCTTATATTAATAAAATGATCTCAATTTGGATTTATTGTTAAAGAGTTTGGGGTTTATTACTTAAACGAGAACATGGTTTTCCTACTTTTTGCTTGTATATATGCCATATTATATATATCATCATCATCATCATCTTCGTTTATAGTCCATCTTTTCCCGTGCCTGGGGTTGGATTTGCGATGATCCTCCTCCAGCGTTCTCTGTTCTGCGTTGATCCTTTATCTAGGCCATATATATATATATATATATATATATTCTTCTCTTGGCCATATGATGTTACCGTGGTTAATTTGCCATTTTGTCTTTATGGTGTTCAAGGTTAATCGAGAGGGCTCACTATACTAATTCCTATTTGTATTTAGGCAAGTGTAGTGTTTAACCCTGAGGTAAGCTGATACGTAAACTAACCGGTCCACGAACATAAACAGAAAGTAGAACAGAAACGTATTGCGTATACACTGTGAGCAGATTGGCAGGGAGCTTGTGAATAAAGCAGCATGGTTGTTGGAACCGATTTTATTGTCTGAGTATTAATGTGGTTTAATCCGGCAGTAAAGTCTACAGCAAGCTTACTACATTTTCAATAGATTCTTCTGGTATTCACTTGTACTAAAATATGATAGTGATACATATTTGGCACGGCCTATCATTACTAGAGGAGTTTATTGTATCCCCCGCGACGAAGTCGGCGGGGATACTATGGTTTCACGTCTGTCCAGCCGCCGCTCGCTGCCGCAGACACTTTCCCTTCCACTCTGTAACTCAACCCTTAACTGACCTAGCGCGACCAAACTTGGTATACTTACACATCTTGGGGAGAAGGTGTGTCGCGTACCAAAACCAGGTCACTGCGACCTTTATTTGACCTTGACGTTGACCTTGATCATATTGTCCTTCCGCTCTATAACTCGGCCCCTAATTTACCTAGCGCGACCAAACTTGGTATACTTAAACATCTTGGGGAGAGGGTGTGTCGCGTACCAAAACCAGGTCACTGCAACCTTTATTTGACCTTGACTTTCATCATATTTCCCTTCCGCTCTATAACTCGGCCCCTAATTGACCTAGCGCGAGCAAACTTCGTATACTTACACATCTTGGGGAGAAGGTGTGTTGCTTACCAAAACCCCTAAGGTAACCAAATTTGACATACTTGCACATCTCAGGCAGATGAGTTGTGTAACAAACCTTTGTCTTTGTGACTTATTTCACTTTACCTACCTTGTACGTCCTTACGGAGATATTTCATTCATACTAGATTACGGGGGATACATGTAGTTGGCGACAACTGCCATTTCTAGTTTTAATTGGACAGGTAAGTCAGTAAGGCATGTAGTAAATATCAACATCCATGTCAGTGAGTGCGTTAGTTACAATCATGTTTTTCTTTACACAGAAGTCTCTGTGTGTGAATTACCACTTGATGCTGGACCATGTGACGACTACCAGGAGCGCTGGAGATATGATCAGGCCACTGGCCGGTGCCAATCGTTCAAATGGGGTGGCTGTCGTGGCAACCATAATAATTTCCAAACAGAACAACTTTGTCAGGATTATTGTGGAGGCATTGTTGAGGAAGGTAAAGCAAGTCTTCATTAACCAAGATTAATAATATTAATCACATAGTGCTGTCTACCTCATACGCTTATCATCATTTAAAACCTTCATCGTGGGTATTAGATATTGAGTACCATTTTGATGTTTCCAGTGATCATCATACTTCCCTACATTTTTAAATATAAAATTACCTGTCTATACTTTGTCAACAGGGTTGTGAAAATCTCTGATAGAATATGATAGACTAAATATTTCATCACATACCAAAACGCACAATGAATTCAGAAGACACTTATGAATTATAATAGCACATGGTTTTTAAGTGTTTTTAAGTTTTGAATTGGTTGGGAGGGTCGGCAATGGCATTTCAGAGAATGTCTGTTCCAGGGAATATGCCTGGATCACTATTGTCATGACACCCCAGTAAGATGCATCTTGTGTATATTAAAATATAACCTTTGTCAATTCACTTTATTTTACATTATATACATATTTTATATATTATTAAAATCATGTTACATAGCTACAGGCCACTAGCAAGCTATTCGTATTGAGCATGGATATAAATTACATTTGTAGTCATATATTGTATAACATGTTGTTATTAGGAATTTTAAACTTTTATTGTACGGTATGTTTAAGATGTGTGTAGCATGCCTTCTGATCCTGGACCGTGTGAGGCATACACCACCGCCTGGTACTATGACAACGAGATTGGTCAGTGTGCGACATTCGCTTATGGTGGATGTGAAGGCAATGCCAACAGATACGACAATAGGGAGGGTTGTGAGCGAGCATGTGGCATCTACCAAACACAAGGTATGCAAAATATAGAAGGTTTGTGCTTCAGTGGACCAAGGAACATATTTTTACGGCCATATCTCTAATATAGCAAACAAAAGTTAGGTCAGAATATACCGGCAAGTTGAGTCGAAACAATCCTGAACTGTGCTAAAGTGTTGTACTAGTATTATGATAGTAGAAGAGCATTGCCAAAAACATATACCAGCTTTTAATTTCTGTATTACTTCTGAAAACGGGCCCTTAATGTTTGTGAGCAGAGGTTTGGCCTTACTACATGTATATATATATGTGATGAACATGGTGTAGGAGTTTTACAGTAAGCTGCTATGCTATAGATTGGTGCAACATGCCCAAGGATCCTGGACCATGCAGGGCTGGACTTCAAATGTATTACCATGACAACAAAGTAGGGAAGTGTCAACAGTTTACATATGGTGGCTGCCATGGTAACGGAAACCGATTCAAGACAATTGAAGAGTGTGAAGACACATGCGGAAAGATGGTTGCACTGACGACAACCCCACAGCCCACGCAAACACAACCAGTTCGACTAACCAGAGAAGGTACCCTTTTGAATGTTCCCCATTAGGTAGATCCAAGATATCGATAGTCAAGAGGCATATATAACCCATCCATGTGCTAATGATCTGACATATTGACACCAGAATCCACTAAACATCTAATACATATACGTTTACCCCAGAAGATAATAGAAGCATCTAATTGAATAAATTTGTTCTTGGTGCCATGATTTATTTCAGAACAGTTAGAATTAAGGTGGCTTTACGGAAGTCGTTGTAGGCATTTTTAATAACGTATATCCTAGAACATCAAGTTTTACCATAAAGAGTATGATAGGTATTCATAAATATTGAAACATTTTGACTGTTTGCATATGCATAACCACCCTGCACATTTCTATTAGTGCTATGCTTCAGGCTGTGTGACAGCATCACACTGCAATTATGTTTACGATAAATAATTGCACGTTGCAGACATCTGTCTTATGGGGCACCAGACTGGTCGCTGTAATGACAGAGTACTGCGCCATTACTACGATGCTGGCGTGGGTTCGTGCAAGGAATTTACATACAGTGGTTGTGGTGGCAACCAGAACAACTTTGGCGAAAAGAGTGACTGCGAGAGATATTGCAGTGGAGTTAAATCTGAAGGTCAGTGTCTGTAGCTGTTACTTTTGTAAGAAGCAGAATTGCTAGGAGATAGTGATTGCAATGTGCTATCCTCTATAAACTAAGAATGTCTGACCAGTCTTCCATTGGGTTTCCATTATTAAGCATTTATGACACAATTTTACATGACAGGGTGCTATAGTTACTACTTTTGGAAGAGGCGAAGCAATCTCTGGGTTGGTAGTCTTTGCAGTGTACTAACCTCTAAAAATGATATAAACATTTGACCACATCGATTTGGTTGCAGTTACTTAGCATGCTTACGCATAAATGACATTGTATATTCATAGATACCTGTCAACTCGATAAAGATGCGGGTCCTTGCCTTGCTTACATCGAGTCATGGTTCTATGATAAGCAGACGAGACAGTGTGCAGAGTTCGTCTACGGGGGTTGCCAGGGCAATGCTAACAGGTAAGGTAGTGCGAGAATGTATGAAAAACATATTTACGTCGTTAATGGTCAGTGCACATGTATTATCTAGTGATTTGTAAATTTGCACTCATTCGTTTATGTATTCCTCACAGTAGTAGCTTAAACCAGGTGGCATAAAAAAGTGGATTGTTCATGTTATTGTACCACATTACTCCCACCTGATGTATCATGTATTGATGTATTCATGTTTCGGACCTATAACAGATTTGAGAGCAAGTCTGAGTGCGAACAGAAATGTATAACAGAGCTGGTGACGGAACCAACCCCGACACGGCCACCACATACAGAAGCACCTGAGGGCCAAGGTATGCATTCAGTAGTTCTGCTAGGTTTTTGCCTATAAGTGCATATACATTGTATTGCATATCAGCGTGAGTGAGTTGGAACTATTCTTGAATGTGCCTTTTGATTTTTATTGCTATTGGCATAAGCTAGTCAGAACCCTGTAACGCACTTGTTTCTGAGTTAAGCTCCTAATTGCAGGCAGGGAAATTAACTTGTGTATAAGAATGCTAGTGCAGGTTTCAGCATTATTTTCAGTAAAATCGAATTATCCTGCATGCCAAATATCTCAACTAATAGAATTAGCTTTAGTAAAATGTGCAAATTGACTTTTATTGCAAATGTCAAAAACATGAGCAATGGTGTTATCAATAACAAACACGACACCACACGATTGGTAATATTTAGCAATCGAGTAGTACAACTTTGTTCATGTGGAATATTGCATGAAACTCTTTTGCTGCAGTGGCTGCTAAGATTTGTGTTATTGCCACAAAGAGAAGGTTAACCTTTTTGGATAGATTTGTCAGCACAAACTAATGTAGTATCCATCTGAGAAAAACTTTTGGAAGCTTACGTGTTTGGGTGTTATGTGCTACAGATAAAGTGAATATTATGCCTGCTGGTTTCTCTAGATTAGTGGTGTATGCCTGCGAATGATCCAGGGCAATGACACTGGATTAAACTGGACTGCACTGGTTTTGCTTCTGTGGTTGTGCTATATATATGTAGGATATCAATTCGCTTTTGCTGGTTTTTGCACTTTGTTAAGAACAATGTTACCAGCCAAAGGATGAAGGTACATGCGACGAGTATGTGTTGCGCTGGTACTTTGATGCTGAACGTGATGGTGGACGATGTGCTCCATTCTGGTATGGTGGTTGTCAGGGCAACAGTAACAACTATGGGTCTCAGCAAGAGTGCGAGGATGGCTGTGTATCTGGTGGTAGGTGACCGCACCGCTGCATGCAGCTTTTGTGTGACACATTTTGTATTTTTTTTTAGATATAGTTTACCATGTCTTATGTGTGTCTTTATTAGTGTATAATATAGCTATATACCATCTAGCTGTGAACCAGTTTGTTATTTTGTCACCTAGCTGTTCATAATGTATGTAACCTGTATAATATTTGTGCATTCTCATTAATTTTCCTCTGATGTCAACTTATAAGATACCTAATGCTAACCGAGATGTCATAACATGGAATTTTGTATCACTGTCCTTGTGATAGCTATATGGGTTTTCCCTGATTAACTATTTCTACAGACCTAATTAGTCATTTGTTGTCATTGCTTTTGCGACTCATTTACAGAAAATTTATTTAAGCTTATTTGTGGTGTACCAGTTGCGCAGGCAATGATGATTAATACATAATGTAATAATTTAATTTGTATTGTATGAAATCAATAACAAGTGTCGTTATCTTTTCTTTTTGTCTGAACACAGTTTTCCATATATTCTTTCTTGTGTGGCACCATTTGTTTGACTACTCATCAATACTTGTTGTCATTATATTTTGTATAGTATTGAATTTATTCGTAGAAAGTGTAGCTAGTTCTTCTTATGTCACGAACGAGAATCTACTGTTTGACAGATATGGTAGTCATGGTTGAGTAGAGGTTTATTTCTATTCTATCTGATAAAAAGGAAACTGTCCTCTAATTGTGTTAGTCTCAATTAGCAACAATGATTTCAATAAATCTTAGTTGTTCTTTTTTATGTGCTCAGTTAAAATACTCTGTCCTATTTTGCTATATTTCTGATTATTAACTTCACATAGCTGTGGAAGTCTGATAAAATTTCCAGTGATTTTTAATGAAATGTGAGCACTAATTTCAAGCTAATTGATGGCAATTACTGTTAGTGAAATCTTTATAAATGGAACGTGTTATAAATATATATAACACAGAATATGATTAATCTTGAGATGTGATTTTTTTAAGCCTAATGATTTTGACTCCATTTGTTTCAGCTGTGGTTGCCACCAAGCCACCGGTGTATACGAGTAAGTGCTATTACATTAATAGAACGATCTATTATTAAACTTGCAAAATTATTAAATTATTAAATTATTATTATTATTAAATTTATTCTTATTACAGTTGACACAGTACTTAAATCAGTTACAGGTTTATATATATGCTTCTAATATCCTCATAAGTTATGACGCTAACATGTTGAAAGGGATTATTATTTGATGTAAATATGAAATAAATATCAACATGGTTTAGCAGCTAAGATCAAACTGAAGCAGTAGAATTTTGTGTATGATAAACCCACTGTTGACAATAACTGTTCTAGTAACTAGCCATTTCCTTCTAATACTTGCAGCTGTGTTACCAGTAGAGACCACTCAGGCCACAATGGCGGGTGAGCCATCGCAATATGGTAGGTGCTAATACGTCAGTATAGGTTTCACTGGTCATTATTGTAATACATAATAAGAATGCGTTGATATATCCTTCATCAATTGCTTGGTTATCTGGACTTGAGAATGGTAAAAATGTAGGAGTAAGAGTGGCTAATTGTATAAGGATCTGCAGGTGCAGATTTATAATAACCAGTATACACAACGTTGTAATTAGTATTTTGGTGCCATTGATGGGCTAATTTCAAATAAATGACACTCTTTTGACATTTTATTTTGTTTTATGTGCAGCAAAACTGAAGTGGCAAGTATTTTAATTTTAAGAACTTATGATAATTGTTCAATGGTTGCGAAATACCAAAATGATGCAGTTTAGTTTCCTGGCAACATTAGGACAGTATTTATGAATGATATTATATAGATTAGGTTTCTTCAAAGAGTAGAACTTTGGGTATTATTTTCAGTAAAATCAGTTATTAATTGTTCTTTTGTTAATATTTTCTATACAATTAAATTTTCTGACAATGTATAAATTGACATTGTGAAATAATTACTCAATATTTAAATAATTTGTGCAGATATCTGCCATCAGCAGAAAGACACTGGACCATGTGAAGACTTTGAGGTTCGTTGGTACTTCTCTGAGGAGCAGGGAAACCGATGCGCACCATTCTACTATGGTGGTTGTGAGGCCAACAAGAACAATTTCGAGACATACCAGGAGTGTTTCGATTCCTGCCATGGTGTCAGTAAGTACCACTCTGTCACACGTGATGTAGATAGTAATATGATTTTTCACTTACTTGTGTGCATTGTGACTATAGAGAGTTCCGCGAATTTTCAAATTACCCACAATGCAACGCCGCCGGCCATGACGGTTCCAGAAACCAGTTCAGACATGGTACAATCCGCGGCACAGGATTGTAGGTAATATTGCTATTTTTAGTGCAAGTCTCGGAACCCTCTATATTTTAGAAGGGTCACTATATAGTAAAGGCAGAGAACAATATATACTAAGTCCAATTCACTTACTATAGAATTTTCAGACAATGATTTGGCCACAGCGAGTGGACTGGGCAAGGGAATACACAACATGCTTGTATGCACTTCATCCATCTGACTGCAATTACAAAACTGGGGAAAAAAGTTTTAAATAGGGAATGTCAACATGGTCACAAGATCTGACTATCCAGATTTTATGCGTAGTGTAAACAAGATTAAATGTGCTATTTCAAAATAAAGTCAGCGTGTAAAGCGTGTGTTCGAGCGTATCTATATTGAAATTGTGTATTTGTCCTATATGGAGCATGGACCTTTTCGTGACTGTATTATATTATTAAAATGTGTAAACTTTGCTTAGTGTACGTTTTGAGTTGCGATGTAACTTTTTTGTGCACGTGTTTCAGCGGCGCCACCTGCTACTACAAGTACACGAGCCCCAGTCACTAGACCTACAGAACCGTACGGTAAGACAGCTTTTAGACTACTTAAATGTTCACGTGTGCATGTACTTTAGGTTCTCTTTAACTTCAGGAATTTATGTAACTATGGACAGTATACTGTTCATACAGGTATACCTGTTGTTTTTCCTGTTTGTTGCAGGGCCATTATTTGTTATGTGATTAGCGTTTGCTGGTCAGTGATGAAATGTACCATGTTTCAACTGTGGGAGACAATCATTTGTATAATGTTTTTATGTCTTTGTCTATATCTTCTGTGAATTGTAAATTGTGTATCACTCTATGCGCCTCATGACAATTCGGTTACCGAGACTGTTGGATGATCACTTGCATGTTTTTACAAAGACCTGTGTCAGCTGCCAAAGGATGCAGGTCCGTGCAGCGATTTCAACATGTGGTGGTACTTTGACACCGAACGTGAGCGCTGTGCTGCATTTTACTACGGTGGTTGCGAGGGAAATGACAACAGGTTTGAGTCTCTCGAGGAATGCGAGAGTGAATGCACGAGGCGACGTAAGTGCGGCGCACGTGGCGTCATGTTTGCGGTGCTCTGACGTCTTTCGTAGCTCTCCATTTTCCTCTGGGCGAACAATGCTCACTCGTGGAGTCTCATCTGTTTGCCTCCTGGGTGCTGTCTTCAGTCTCTCTTGGACAGGATAGTTTGATAACTTGCTGTTTGACCTGGTAGCAACTTTCTGTGTGAAGTGTCTTTCTGTCTCTCTCATGACAGTTCTGTCATGAATCTCTTAGTCTTTCCAAGTTTTCTGCAGCTGACGTTGATGGGCATATTTGAAAGTGCCTCTGATTATATCTTCTTCTAGCTAGCATATTTATTCAACTGTGCAAATTATCAAGCCCATAAGCCTGCCATCATGTCAAGTATATCATGAAATGAACCCCGTTTTGAGATGTTAGTAAATCTTGGTCTTAAAACAAGTTAGAAGAATATAAATTATCTATATAGTATATGAGACTATTAGCGATTCTGATCGCCCTCCAGAAACACTTAATACTACCCACAAGCTCCTTACAAGAGCTTAGTGCAGCCACGTTGAAACGTACATAGTAGTTGCAAACTAAATGTACACGTACTTCTTAACACCTAACCAGTTCCAGCATTTATGCAGTGCACTGTGACCATTCGTCATGTGCATATTAAACAATAGCCCCTTTATAATGCATTGGCTATCAATACTTATCTGTACACGCAACACAAATACTAGAGTTTGTTTGTCTTTGCTGTAATCATCAAAAACATCTTTGTTCTTTAGTTGATAACTTTTATTTTTCCTAGAGTTACTTACTACAGCTATAGCATGTACACTCTGCCTCTACTAAATGGTTTGCTGTGTCATATATTATTACTACACTAGTTTAATTTTAGTACCTAGTTTAATTTCAGTACCAATTTTATTTTTTGTTTAGAAATTACAATGATTTGGAATGTGTGTTGTTCAATATCCTGATAATTCTTAATTGGGTGTGTCTATCATACGATATTAGCAGAGACAACAATGCCTATACGCACACGCCCAGAAGTGACGAAGCCTACTATTACAACAGAAACACCCAGCTCATACGGTAAACAAATGTGTCAAATATGTTTGTTACTAAAATTGATTCAGTGGTGATTCATACCAGTCTGGCAGAAAGAAAATCCAACATAAGTGAATTCGTTGTGGAAGTAACCATGAAAGTTTATATTTCGAGAGCTGATAGATAAATAAATACTAATAACATGTAGGGTGTTCAGAGGGTGGAGTCGGGTAGTTCAGCAGTAATTCTGCTCTCACCTCCGTGGCAGTCACAGTATTTGTCACATTTTTAAAGACATCTGCGATCAAGAAAAACAACCTGGGACATGCAGTGACTATCAGCTGCGCTGGTACTTCTCTGATGAAGATGGTGGCCGCTGTGCACCATTCTACTATGGTGGCTGTGAAGGAAATGAGAACAATTTTGCATCGTATGAAGAGTGCAACGATTTCTGCTCTGCTGCGAGTAGGTCTACCACGTTAAAGTGTGATGTTCTCCTTAGAGTAACCACCACATGAAACAAGCTCACAATAATGATATTTAAATTTAAAAAGTTCAAGTAATGGTGTTCTCGTAATGCAGATGAAATTTACAGGAAATTTAATTATGTGGCATATTTATACTGACGGTATATGATGCACACTACTTTCTTTATATGGAACACTCAAACACGTTGCAGCACGGCCAGCAAAGGTGACTGAACAACCTACCACAGTGGCAATAGCGCAAAAGACCACCATGTTACAGGTGGAAACGACTGAGCCTGAGGAGGTTGATGCATATGGTACATCTTCACAACGTCTAGATACGCACACATATGTATATATATATATATATATATATATATATATATATATGCTTAGGTTCATTTTGGTCACTCTGTCATCAATCATCACAACAGCGTCACATCCGTCGCTAAAGAAAATATGTAAATTGTCTTAAAATATTGAAATATCACAAGTGACACGAGTAAGTACATGACTGTGCTATGAAAAGAAACAATAAATGGCAGCAGGCTATAGTTGTCAGGTTATCACTCTGGTTGTCAACTACGACCAATAATATACATAGAATGTGATTTTATTCCTAAGGTGTATGCCATCTTGAAGTGGATCCAGGTCCTTGTGCTGATTATGTCCTGCGGTGGCATTACTCTCAGGAGAAGGGTGACCGGTGTGCCCCGTTCTACTATGGTGGCTGTGAAGGCAACGCAAACAATTATCAGACATATGATGAGTGTGACGCAATCTGCTCAGGAGCCAGTAGGTGGCAGTGTGGCGCTATCGCTTCTCCCTCTCTCTCTCTCTCTCTCTCTATCTCTCTCTCTCTATCTCTCTCTATCTCTCTCTCTCTGTCTCTTTCTCTCTCCTTCTCCCTTCTCCCTCTTTTCTCTCTTTTTCTCTGTCTGATCACGCTCTGTTTCCCATCTCCTTCTCATATCTTCAACATTACTCTGGTTTCATTGCTGACTCAGATTGATCTGTGTTGCTGGTCAAGGCTCTCAAGGTGTGACTCTTACTGCTAGACAGGCATCTCCATTTCCACTTCTTGTGTGTTAATTAGTAGACTGCTAATAATGGATGTTTGGTTCGCTATTCATGACTATTGGGAATTTCCCTGTCAGGTGTTTGTGCGTCCAGGGATCCGCGTGTGTGTGCGTGCGTGAGTGCGTGTGTGTGCAGGTGTCTGTGTATGTGGTGTCCCATACTCGAGCTGGTTCATTCCAATTTCCATGGAGCCAATACAAACTTTACTTATTTATTTCACATCTTAATCTTGTAGCACTTGTTTTACAAGAACTTGTTTTCATGCTATTTAGTGAAGCTTGTTTTATTCCTAACCATGTGTTTTGGTGTTATCTATAAGTGGACGACATCACATATTCTGCATTTCCTAATTTCTGGTATAGTTGAGGAAGGAAAATAGTAATAACTTTTTTAATTAAGGAAATTGTAATAATCTGCCTCCCTACAGCTATTTGTAAGTTGATGTGAATGTAGTTGATATATATGTATATCTGTACATCTTAATTAATATATTACCATGGTATATGAGTTTATCACGTTGAGAAAATCTATATATCATAAATTATTTTATTTTATAATGTGCATAAAGGCTTGATTTGCAACCATTTGGAAACACCCGAGGTGACAAACGGTTGTAGATTGTAGCAGGTAGCTGCGAAGTTAATTACTAACTTTGCACTAAACTTGATATTTCGAAACTGTTCACCGCTTGTCCAACGTGGTAAATCGGAAATCATTGCTTGAGTAGCTTTGGTTGCCTTCTCTAATTGTGAAGAATATAATGTGCTTATTTACTGCCTTTTTATTATGCACTTGTGCTTTCAGCTTGTTCCTCAGTATCACTACGCTACAGAGATTCATTACTGTAGTGTTTGCTTCGGTGTAGCATCGTTACTACTGCGAAGAGAATTGCATTGAGTTCAGCGCTTTTTCGCATATTACTACTGTCATACTGGCTTTACATGTGTCAATTATTGTATCGGCAGCATATGCTGGCGTTTCCTAATGCTCACCACCGCATTCTGCTGAATACTATACAAGCTCGGCACAGTTTAAGTGACTTCCAATGGTTTGCTACCTCGTTGCTATTCATAAATTAGTAGTCTGTTAGTAGGCACGTATATGACAGATGAGGTTTTGATTATTTTGTTCTTAAGGCTTTGATGCCATGTCATACTGCCTCGTTTACAGCTGCACCATCAACAACACAGGCTTCTGTAATCGAAACCACTATGGCGTCATACACCACAGAAACAGTTACTGAGATCACTGAGGAAGTGGTTGAGGGAACAGAAAAGCCATCTGCTTATGGTACTTACATAGTGACAGGGGTCAATAATGACAAACATTTGTTATTATTTACTCCTGATCTAGGGAAGATATTGACACATAGAGTATGAACGTTGAGTATGGCAATGGTCTTATTATAGTTTAGTTCACAGTCCAACTTCAGTTTCATGGGAAATGTGCAGTCTTATCCAAAGTCCACAAAAAAAAAAAGTTAAGCAAGGTCCAATGGGAAATGTGGCAGCATCATATTAAACAGTTTTCGCTTAGTCGAGATATGCATGATGCAGACAAAGCCTTTTATGACTGCAAAAATGTTTAAAATATTTACATTATGTCGCCATTACAAAGCACATGTTCCTGTGAATAGACATTTTTCCCAAGTGAATACCACTGAACTAGAATATTTTATGTCTCATAATTTTAAGAATACAAATCTGCATTTATTTTGATATATATTGTTATTCCTCAATGGACACGTTAGGCAATGTTGGGTTAATTTACTATTAGCGAAATTGGGTTGATCATAATGATCGTTGGCTAGATTAGCACTATTTATTACACATTTATTTGCATATATATATATATATGCATTTATACACACATGGTATCATTTAAGATAATATGATCATCTAAATGTAATTTTCTATTTAACAAAAATACAAGACATCTGCAGAGAGCCTCTACAAGCAGGTCCATGTGGTGACTTCATACTGAGTTGGTATTTCGCGCCAGAAAAGGGTGATCGGTGTGCACCTTTCTACTATGGAGGCTGTGAGGGCAATGGCAACAGATTTGGAACTTACGATGAATGCGCGAGCTTCTGCACAGGAGCATGTAGGTTGATATGTGTCTTCTCACGGAATTGTCGGCTAATCCAGTTGTTCTCTCCGCCGATTTGCGTTGGCTCCGTAATTTGTACTGTCAATAACAGTAAACCTTCGTTGACGTTCACTAGGCACTTGCTCGTGTTGTGGTGGTATAGATGTTGAAAGACATGGCGAGATGTTTCAGTAGCCTTTAATACATTTACAATTAGTTCACCAGCGAACATGTTGAAGCATGGTTTGCTACTTTGCAGTACCTCAAGCAACTACCCATCCTGTTACTGAAACAAGTAAAACTAAACCTACACATGAAACAATGACAACGGTAGCTCCTACTACTGTTTTAACAACAACTATGAGACCAATGCAAACGACAGAGAAACCGTCAAAATATGGTATGATATTGTATTTGGTAGCTGTTGAAAATCATTTAGTGAAGATTTCAGTAATACGTAGATGTAAAAAGCAGGCCATTCTTAATCAGTATAATGCAATCTATTTTGTTGACTGATTTCATGAAATTATCAAGAACGTCAGTTATTTTAAGACTTATCTATCAGTTATAGAATTAAAATATCTATAGAATACTTAATCTATACAATACAATATATAGCTATTGATATGATCATGCTTATAGTAATTTTCAGTGGAGAACAATATGAATGTTAGTGAAACGTTGTTTCCATATTATAACACATTAATCAGTTATATACCAAATTAACTAGGCACGTTAAATGATGTGATTGGCACTAGTCATTTATTAGTTAAATATAACCCTTTTTAAGATATCTGCCAGCAGCCAAAGGAGGCAGGACCATGTGACAGCTATGTATTGCGCTGGTACTTCTCTGCTGAAGATGGCGATCGTTGTGCACCGTTCTACTATGGTGGCTGTGAAGGAAATGAGAACAACTTTGAAACCCATCAGGACTGCTCTGACTTCTGCTCTGGAGCCAGTATGTGGATCCACGGGTTTATTTCTGGTCATTTTAGGTGTAGCCTTGTGTGCCACGATTTGGATGCTTAGTTCTCGCCACTAACGCTGAGTACAATGTTTCTGTCGCCAGTGTCTAATATTTTCTGTTATGCCATTATAGTCATGGTTTATGACCTGTGACCGTTTCCAGCTACTGAACTATATGTTTGCAACCGTGACTGTGCTTCTGCAAACTCCTATTAGCATAATATTGTTAGCACTTCTGCAAGAGTCACGTTGTTTCTGGTAACAATTCCTTCCTAATGTTGTTGGTAGCTTATCAACAATGCCTTGATTTCTGGTAATGGTTTCCATCTTCATGCTATCTGTACTGTTGCAACAGTCGCTTGGTTTCTGGCAACAGTTACCATTCTAATATTGGTGGCACATCTGGAATAATGGCTTTGCTTCTGTGAAAGGTAACCATTCTATTGTAGATGGTCTTTTGCAGGAATTGCTTTCCTCGTAATAACCACTAGCTTCCTGATGTTTTTGGCACTTGATCAACAATGGCTTTGCTACTGTGAATTTTTCACTTTTTGGTCTTTGTGCAATAATGACTTTGCTTCTGCGACTAGTTACTATCCTAGTGTTGTTAGTTCTTCTGCAACAATTGCGTTGTGTGTAGTAACAGGTACCATTCTAATATTGTTGCCACCTCACCAACAACAGCTTTCCTACTACAGGCAGGTACCATCATGGTGATTTTGGTGCTTTTGTGATAATGGCTTTGCTTCTCTGAAAATGGTTACAATCCTAGTGTTGTTAGTACTTCTGCAATATGGCTTGCTTCTCTGAAATGTTTACCATCCTGGTGTTGTTAGTTCATCTGCAATAATGGCTTCATGTATAGTAACAATTACCATCCTAATATTGTTGGCACTATATCAACACAGCTTTGCTACAGTTAACGATTAACATCTTTGTGTTCTTTCTGCTTCTACAAGAATGTCTTTACTTCTGTGACTGGTTACCATCGTAGCATTGTTGGTGATTGTGCACTAATGGCATTGCTCCTATGACTGCATGGTCACTATCCTAGTGTTGTTAGTTCTTCTGCAATAATTGCTTTCCTTCTAAAACGGTTACCATCCTAGTGTTCTTGGCATAATCGTAGTGATTTTGGTCCTTATTTGATTATTGACTATGCTTCTACAAAAGGGTTACTGTCCTAATGTAGTAGCAATAATTCTGGTATAATGGCTTTGTGTCTAGTAGTAGTTACCATTTTGATATCGGTAGTAGTTCTGTAATAATGGCTTTGCTTCGGCTTGGCTTCGGAAAATTTACCATACTAGTGTTGTTGATACCTCTGAGACAATGGCTTTGTGTATAGTACCAGTTACCATCCTAATCTTGTTGGTGCTTCTGCAATAACTCCCTGTGTTCTCTGAATCAATACCATCTTAGTGCTGTTGTTTCTTCCGGAATAATGACTGCTTCCAGGAAATGTTACCCATTTTTATAAGTATTTTAAGTAATTTTTAAGTAAGTATTTTATTTTTATCAAGTGACTACTATAATGGGACATTATAAAGTTATAACCAGCAACTCTTTAATTGCTTCTGTAAAGCCCTTTTTTAGTAGAGTAGTTATTTTATATTCACATACGCTATAAAAAGTTATATTTATTATATTTTCTGCTATCATAGATATTCTTTCTGAATAAGGGCAGCCATTGGTTTATACTCTTAATTATGAGCATCTTTAGTAATGGTATTGTAATATGGCTTGTGTCCTGTCTTTGCTGAGATCTATGAGAGCATTTTCAATAATTTATTATTACTATGCTGTTTGGCATATGACAATGCACTAGCTGACGCATGTGTTTAGCTTTGATATATTTCATCTCTTACTGGCCTTACAGTACTACCACCTACGGAAGCATCCACTGGTGTTACTCACCTAGAGACAAAAACTACAGAAATGGTGCCAGAAGCTACTACTGAAATGGTGCCAGAAGCTACTACTGAAATGGTGCCAGAAGCTACTACTGAAATGGAGCCAGAAGCTACTACTGAAATGGAGCCTGATTATAGTACAGTTTCTTCCACAGTCATTGGTGAGTTTTTTTTTTAAATAGTTCACAAACTCTGTTCCACAGGTTGCCAGGAGATGAGATTTATTACAAGACATTTAGCATCACAATGCACAATGAGGCCCAACTACTAGTAGTCATGCTATGCTAGCATTATAATTCCAAAATGGTAACTGACGTGATATATCCTGTACGGATTGAATCAGCCTAAAATAGTCATCAGCTTATCTTCACGAAAAAAAGGACATACTGTCCGTTTTTTGTTTGGGGCCATCAAAGTTATCTAGTGACATGTATTTTGTTTATTCTATGCAAAATTCAGATCGCACAACATGATTAATAATTGTGTGGTAGTAATTAAAGCATTTATTAACATAATATGATATGATCAGGAGTCTATCAATTTTGATAGACTCCTGATATGATCAAAGTAATTAAACTATTTTAAGACATATGTGAGCTGCCGAAAGAACCTGGCTCATGCAATGAGTTTGTGCTACGATGGTACTACTCGACTGAAGATGGTGGCCGCTGTGCACCATTCTACTATGGTGGCTGTGAAGGGAATGAGAACAACTTTGAAACACATGATGAGTGCTCTAATGCCTGTCCGCGTGCCAGTACGTTTGCAACAGCATAATAGCTGATGCGCTCTGTTTTCTTTCTATTAACTTGCCATTCATCACCTCATGGTTTGAGCGTTTTAGTGTGATTTTGTAGTGTATAGGTGCTTGGTCTTAGCAACATAGCACACTGTCACATCAGGTCAATTCCTTGCACTCTTTGCTTGACTTGAATCTGAAGAAAGTTGGTGTTGTAGTCACTTTGTAGGAACTTGGTAGTGAATTGAAAGGAATTTAGCTATCCTGTCATTTATCAGTTTTTGGTGATATCCATAGCTTATTTAATTGCTAAATTACATTTACATGGACACAGCTTATCCATGCTGTTGTTTACGGAACACTTAGTAGCAGAACTATATTTTCTGCTTTATTCATCTTTGCTTCTGCTCCTTTGCACTGACTGTGAGTGAAATTCTTCTTCCCCTGCTTGTTTGAATCTGTATATATAATAGTCATATAGATTGGTGCCGCACATGGCAGCACCAACGAGGTTCATGCTTTTGTTTTCCAAGAGTGAGTGGCTGCTGGTAGAATTAGGATAGGACTGCTTTATTTATCAAACTTAATGAGTTTTGAGTTTTGTCAATGGCATTATGTCTACATATGCTTTTTTATATTTATATTTGTGATATCAGGTTCTTGGGTCCCACTCGGTTATGCTTTTGTGGGAAGGATAAGATTTAATTTTTGGAATCTTTAGTTTTTGTAGATCTTATTATTTGCTGAAACGCGAACCATGTGTCTCTGCTGTATAATGCAGCCGTGTTGGTATTGCAGCAGAACCTGTGACAACTCCTGAAGCAGAAACTACTGAGGTAGCGGCTACAACAAAAGAGCTATCTGAATATGGTACTGATTATTGCATCATGCTTTACAAAAAGTTGTGGCCAAAATAATTCATTCCAAACAATAAATTTCTTTCAGGGTCAAAGATATTCCTATTTACAAAATCTTAGGTGTGAATGTGTATGCGTGCGTGCTTGCGTGTGTAACGTCATAGACGTCATATGTTGCAATAAAATTTTGCCTCTGCTTTTAATGGTTTTAAGAAGCATGTCAGATGCCACAAGATCCTGGTCCATGCAACGATATGAAGATGTTGTGGTATTTTTCAACTGAAACCAAGCAATGCAAACCATTTTACTATGGTGGATGCAAGGGAAACAAAAACAACTTTGCCACCTATCGCGAATGCTATGCATTCTGCGTAGACACAAGTAGGTTTGTGAAACAAGCGTTTGGACTGTCCATTCTTTGGTATTGCAGGTAGTTCTTCTTGCTCTCGCAACTGTGACTGTAGTATCTGCGATATTCCGACAGCGAGTGGTGTAGTTGACTCTTCCTTGTAGTTTGATTTTGCCCACCTTGGCAGATTTCACAACCTGACACCTCGACAACAATTTTATCACTCTTGTGGATATTAGTGTCACTCACTAAGTAGACAGTTGATTTTCACTGGTTTTTGCGATTTTTTAACATTTCGTTTCTCGCCACTTTTTAAATTACTCTGACAGTTTCTTGTTGCTGTTATCTGATTCTAGAAATTACTTTGTTGGTGTGGAGTGCTTAGTCGGTTAGTTGTGTGATACTACTCTCTGACTTTGATCTGCTGCAGTTTTTATTCCTGAAGCTCTTCTTTGTTATTCTTTCAAGTAGTTATACTGTTTTCCTTTATACTTTAATGTTGTATTTTCATATTTATATTATTGTAGTATATAGCATGTCATGTTGATTTTCAGTTGTTGATGTGCCATTTGAGACTACAGGTTGTGGGACACTAAGCGGAGCTAAATTCATTGTTTGTAAACGGTTCCAAAAAGCTGTGGGACGTTGATAATATCATGCGAACCTATATTCAAACAATTGTATGCAAACATTGTATAAAAAGACCAGTATGAGTCGCTTACCAAAGCAAAATATTAAATGCAATCATCATTCCAAGGAAAAGTTCTAGGCTCCAAGAAGTACAAAACGCGCTCCAAGAACATTATTTGCATTTTCACGAGAAAATGTCATTATGATTGATTGTTCACACAGCTGCTCAACAAGGCCATGGCCCAGAATCCATTCACTGGCATAGAGTGAATGGAACCTTATATAATGATAAAGAATAATATTTGGTGTGTACCAGTCATGACTCATAGCGTGTCTGATATAGTATATAGACACGTGTGGAGTATCAACAATAACGGATGCTCTGTACAGGGAGGTTACTATGTAAGTGCCTATGTGGTATTTAAATTTCAAAGTGGTGTTCAAACTGTAAGGAAACAACGTGACATTGGACCTGAGTATGTGTAATGGTCTGTAACAAGCATAAGGTATGTAAGTGGTTGATGTACTTGCATTATTGCACCTCGACCCAATACAGGATAAATGGCACAAGTGCAGTTGTATGTACACAGATTCCCTATTCTTTCGTCAGTCTGCATGTGCATAATGTTTATAGAGATTTTATTTATTAGATGTTGCTACGTTATTTATGTGAGCCTCAGTGCACGCATTTTGCAGCACCAACAAAGTCTACAAAGACACTCACAACAACTGTGTTGTCAGTGGAGGCCACAAGGCCACAAGTCAGTACAGCAGGTAGATATTGCATCTTCAGAGGTAGTTGTTTTATGGTTACTACGCTGAGTGGGGAGCAGAGAGCTGAAGTTGCTTTGAAACATTTGGCTTATAGTACCGTGTGTCCGCCGTGTGTTTACTGTTCTTTCAAACGGCTAATATCCGTTTCAACAACCTAACGCAAGTTAGTAATTCATGATCTTCTACTCACGTTGCCTTGAATATACTGGCCTATATACACGCAGGCTTTCACTAAGCATAGTCTCTCTGTAATCAGCAGCGTAATATAGTATAGTGTAGTAGCTTAATTTGATGTTGTCTATTTTCGACGGTTTAGTGCTTTTCTGCGGCTATAGGACGCGGCTATTGGAGTCTGCTTACTCAAATAACATGGCTTTGCTAAAGTGAAAGTGTTAGTTATCAGCTAGCTGTCCCTTCTTTTGTTGTTAATTTTCCTTCTGAGTAAATATCACTGTTGCGTTAAGACAGTGTTCTGTTACTCTGTCATCAGCAGCGTAATATAGTATAGTGTAGTAGCTTAATTTGATGTTGTCTATTTTCGACGGTCTAGTGCTTTTCTGCGGTTATAGGACACGGCTATTGGAGTCTGCTTATACTCAAATAACATGGGTTTTCTGAAGTGAAAGTGTTAGTTATCAGCTGTCCCTTCTTTTGCTGTTCATTTTCCTTCTGAGTAAATATCACTGTTGCGTTAAAACCAGACCATCAATCAATCAGTAATATGTATCTTACGACAGTTTCTGCTCATCATTTTTTGGATAGCACTCTGCACTGTAGATCTGTTAACTCGTCGACTTCTATTGTATTGAGAACATGTAATCCTAAAGTGTAGACATTTTAAAGGCGTATGCCAGCAGCCAAAGGAGGTGGGACCCTGTGGTGATTACGTGTTGCGCTGGTACTTCTCTGATGAAGATGGTGGTCGCTGTGCACCATTCTACTATGGTGGCTGTGAGGGAAATAAGAACAACTTTGAAACCCATCAAGACTGTTTAGACTTCTGCTCAGTAACCAGTACGTAATAAATATGCGCTAACTAGTTCGGTTTCTTTGTGAACAAACTCATAGGCATCAACAAGTGAGTTACGGAGATATCGTTCTACCTGTACAAATTATTATTTTCTAAATTATCTTTGTGTAAATTAAGTTCTAGTATGGCAGTCGTCATTAGTTGAATATGAGGAAGCGTGCAAATGTGATCATTGGCATTGGCTAGGTAGATGTGTGGTGAGATGGTGGCTAGATTGTGAACAAACATAGATGCTAGCTTAAATAATTTTCTCTAGAGAATGTAACTCTATATTGTAGTACCCCACCCTACAGATGGACCAAGGATGTTTTATATTACTGGCGCATAAACAGACGCCATGGGACGTACGATGACATCAACTGGTACATAGAGTTGTCTAGCTGCTTCAGTGTTGATATATAGTTTACATACATGTGCATACCTAGCTATGCACGCACATATACATACACAAACGCCCACGTCCATGCATCCATGCACACGCACGAACACGCCCACAAAGAGTCGATCAAACTTCCAAACATTTACGTGAACTTACAGCGCCGATGCCAACAGAAGATTCAAAGAGACGCACTCCAGCTGTTCCTTCAACAGAGATGACGTCAGCTCTTGTCACCATAACGGGTACATGTAATATCTTAGCGGTTGCTTTTCTGCTTCTGTCTGCCTTAGACTGGCGATAAGGACTAGATTATTACTTGCTAACACATTCTCCAGTGTGGTTGCATTAGTTTATAGTCTTCTGTGTGCAAATAGATCTTCAGACAATTTAAATTACAGTTAGGGTTTCTACAATGCTGCAGACTTTGATACAAACGGGAGATTATTGTGTGGCTTACTCATCCTGTGCATCTGCAGTCATCGATTTCGCTTGGTTTTCCCTCTGAGTCTTAATATTTTTCTAAAATGTCTATTTGTGAGATGCAGTCAACTAGATTTTATCTGTCCTATAATAAAAGCCCGGTTGCAGTCATTACACAAGGTGTAGATGGTACATCGCTTCTATAGAAATCCATTTACCAGCTTCGTGTGTTGTGTGCCCTGCTGCGTGTGGCGTGTGTCTATCTACTGATGCTGCCCTAATTGCTTACTTTCACAATGGCTCTCCTTCAGATTAAGAAGTGATGGCTAGGTGCAAGATTAACATTGTTTCCTGCAGTGGTAGTAGTAACTATTATGTGTAACTTCTCTCATTTTACTCCTCCGAGAATCTCCAAAACTAACGAATCTATAATATGTATCCGACCACAGTCAGGTCATTTCAGTTTGTTATTTGCATTTCTGGAATCAGCAGTTTATAGTCAAGTTATGAAATTCGTTACTGTTGAGATTGTTATCAATCTTGTCTGTTCAAACTGTTAAATTCCAATTATTTAAACATTTTCAAGACATCTGTCAGCAACCAAAGGAGGCGGGACCTTGTGATGATTACGTGTTGCGCTGGTACTTCTCTGATGAAGATGGTGGCCGCTGTGCACCGTTCTATTATGGTGGCTGTGAAGGAAATAAGAACAACTTTGAAACCCATCAAGACTGCTCTGACTTCTGCTCAGGCGCTCGTATGTATAACATACGTATTAGATGGCATTCTGTTTCTGAAATCTATGTTGAGTAATCAGCATCGTGTCAGAAACTCACCGATCTTATTCCTTAATAATAATAATAATAATAATAATAATAATAATAATAATAATAATTGTGCAAATAAATTACATTGTTCAAACGTGTAACTAAACTGTACATTGTAGCATCTCCGACAACAAAACTCTCGAAGACACGTACATCTACTGTTGCTACAACAGAGGCCACGTGGCACGCAGTGACAACAGCTGGTACATTTCTTTATTATTTTGTAGCTATTTTATTAGTTTTTCTTTATTTGTTTTTATCTTATTGTATTTTATTTTATCACGCTTGCGTATGCGTATATATATATTCAAATATCTAGGTGCAAGGATAGCGTGATTTCCACTAATTAGAGTAGTAATTGTCATCTTCACTTGCTCAATACGTCCTAAATGAATCTTACAGAAGAACTTCATCAGTCATAGGGTACTAACAATCTATCTATGTGCCCATGGATGTTCATTGTGTCTGTATTTTATATATGTATATTGTATACAGCTACTATGATAGATTTGAATACGATGCTTAAAGGTTTACTCTGATAGCTGGACAGTTTTTTTAATATAAATTGATAAACATATTTTTCAACTAAAGAGTAGATATAGGTAAAAAAAAAACATCAAAACATTTTAAAGATATATGCAAGCAGCCAAAGGAGACAGGACCATGTGACAGCTATGTATTGCGCTGGTACTTCTCTGGGGAAGATGGTGGCCGCTGTGCACCGTTCTACTATGGTGGCTGTGAGGGAAATAAGAACAACTTTGAAACAAACGAGGACTGTTCTGACTTCTGCTCAGGGGCCCGTACGTACATCATACGTATTCGATGCCACACTGTTGGTTAAATCTAAGATTGGGTCATCAGCATCATGTTACCAACTCATCGTTCTGATCCTTGATAATAGAGATAATTATATGAGTAACATATCGGTAAAACATATTTAAATCAAGTGGAATAGATCTAGGAAATTTTCAATCAAAGATAGGAATAAACGTAACAATACTACTAACATGTAGAATTTCAATAACTATCGCAACTGTACGTTATAGCATCTGCAGTAACAAAACTTGCGACGACACCTCCATCTACCGTTGCTACAACAGAGGCCACGCGGCCTGCAGTGAAAACAGCTGGTACCTTTATTTTTTGTATATATTTTATATGATTTTATAAATATTCAGAATAACAATGAGACAGTTGCTTATATTTTACAGTTAATTACATTTCTATGCGTGTAGCTTATACCTGTAAGACCAAAACAAAATATAGGTGTGGTTACGGTTTCCCGACCGACCCTATTTATTCCCAGCTACCCTAAACATTTTGTCAATTTTCTCTAAAGTCAAAAAAAAATATTTAAAAAAAAAAAGAAAAAAAATATGAATTGGACAGTTCCTGCTTCAAAGGGCACAACGCACATCCTTCGGACATAGTTCGTAAATAAAATATTTCAAGAAAATACAATGTTTTTCCTACCTACCTACCCTATTTTTTTTCGGCATGTAACGGTAACCACGCATATATTTTGTTTTGTTTTAATCGGGATAAGTTTAGTAAATAGCTTGATTAGGTAGTTCCTATATCTGATCGGTAATATTCCATGTCCACTAGCAACAAGAGAGTCGAAGGTGAACGCTTCCTCTGTTTCTTCAACTGAGACCACCCCAACCACACACTCGACGATGGGTATACAATTCTGTTTAGTGTCGTAGAGGTTGCTGTTTTGCTTCTTTTAACATTCGGCTTATGAGTGACGTTTGGTTTCTAATGCTGCTTAGTGACTACTCGCTGTGAATGCTGTTGATTAAGGTTTAGGGTCGTCAGGTGAATTTCTTTTAAATCTTGGCCAACCAACCATACATCTGTACATACAGGTACCATGCCAAACACTCTAGCCTAATTTCATTGTTGGCATTACTTTGAATTATTTCTTTAATGGACATCCAAAATACTAGTTAGCCCAGTTATAATTCTCACATCTGGTAACTCTATTCATGACTCCTGTGCGCACATGCGTTTTCTACAAATGAGCCAAGAGCTGTGGATTTTTACATAGTTTACATTGCCTAGTAATATGCTTATTACATAATTTCTTGGCTTACATTCTTTGTTCATCATCGGTTGCTAACTTTCTATTGGCATTTCTGCAGTTTCTGTTGGTTACAAGTAGCTACCTTGATTAGAATTGCAAGCAACATTGGGTTTTCCTGCAGGCAAATGCTTCACTGCTTGTAGATGTTATATCTCGTAGATGCTGTCTTAGCTACGTCTGCTTCTGTATTGCTCATGAGTATACTCTGGTTGACAAATATCTAGGTGCAAGGATAGCGGGATTTCCACTAATTAGAGTAGTAATTGTCATCTTCACTTGCTCAATACGTCCTAAATGAATCTCACATCAGAACTTCATCGGTCAGAAGGTAGTAATCGATGGAATAATCTGTACTAACAATCTATCTATGTGCTATGGATATGTTCATTGTGTCTGTATTTTGTATTCTGATATTTTCAGTCAATTGTATACAGCTACTATGATAATTTGCATACGGTGCTTAAAGGTTTACTGTGATAGCTGGACAATTTTAATAATATAATATATAATTGATAAATCATATATTTCAACTATAAGAGTCAGATAAAGTAAAAAAAAAGTCATCACAAATCTATTCTTAAACGATATACTGCAAGTGCAACCAACAGGATCCAGGACGCTCCTAGTCGGTTGCTTTACGTGTTTGCCGCTGGGGTACGCCGCTCTCTCTGATGAGATGGTGGCCGCTGTGCACCATTCTACTATGGTGGCTGTGAAGGAAATAAGAACAACTTTGAAACTTACGAGGATGTTCTGACTTCTGCTGCGGGGCTCCCCGCGTACTACATTCATAACCAGAAGTAGATATACAAATTCATCTTACCCTTCTCTCTCTCTCTCTCTCATCCTCGTATACTCTCGTCCTATTAATTCTTATTTCCGAGTCGATACGTATCTTTCCGCTGCTGTCAACCATCTCCTGTTGGTTAAATCTAAAGATTGGGTCATCAGCCAGTTCATGTTACCAAAGTCACTTCGTTCTGATCTGTTGATAATACAAATAATTATATGATAACAATAATAGCGTAAAACAATATTAAATCAAAGTCGGGAATAGATCTAGGAAATTTTCAATCAAAGATAGGAATAATCGTAACATGTAGAATTTCAATAACTGTCTAACTGTACGTTATAGCATCTGCAGTAACAAAACTTGCAACGACCCCTGAGCCTCCATCTACTGTTGCTCCAACAGAGGCGACGCGGCCTGCAGTGAAAACAGCTGGTACCTTTCTTTATTATTTTGTATATATTTTATATGATTTTATAAATATTCAGAATAGCAATGAGACAGTTGCTTATATCTTACAGTTAATTACATTCCTATGCGTGTAGATTATACCTGTAATATGGATAAGTTTAGTAAATAGCTTGATTAGGTAGTTCCTATATCTGATCGGTAATATTCCATGATCACTAGCAACAGAAGAGTCGAAGGTGAACGCTTCCTCTGTTTCTTCAACTGAGACCACACCAACCACACACTCGACGATGGGTATACATCTGTTTAGTGTCGTAGAGGTTGCTGTTTTGCTTCTGTCTACGTTCGGCTGAGGAATGGCGTTTGGTTTCTAATGCTGCTTTATCGTTATTCGGTGTAAATGCTGTTGATTCATTTTTAGGTTGCTAAGTGAACTTATTTCAAATCCTGGCCAACTAACTTTACATCAGTATTTACATATACAATGCCAAAAAACATGTGGTACTTTCACGTATCACTTGGTTTATTTCTTTGATGAACTTTCCAAATACGTACCTCTTTACCCAGTTCAAAATCGATCACATAGCAACCCTGTTCATGTCTACTGTGTGCGCATACGTTTTCTACAAATTAGCTAATAGCTCTGGATTCCTACAAAAATTTCATTGCGTTTCATTGCAAATAATTGCATTTGCATTTGCATTGCATTGCATTCACATGCTTAATACATAATTACTTGGCCCACTTTCGTTGTTTCTCAGCAGTTGTGGAATGTCTTATGCGTTTTTGATGTTTCTGCTAGCTGCAAGGAGCTCCCTAAATTAACATTTCAAACACGTTTTGGGTTTTTCTTCACGCAATTGTCACAGTGCATGGAGATGTTATGCCATTGTGCTGTGTGCACAGCGAGGATGATATATGCGTAACCGTGTCTAGTACTTTACCATTTGTTTTGTGAAAAATGAACCCGTTTATGAATTTTGCGTGCATTTATACGCAGTAGCGTGCAATACGAAACCAGTACTTTACCCTTGAAATTAAAGTAGTCTTGCTTTGAAGTATGAAAACATTGGATTCAAGAGACAGGTACTTCTTCTTGAGTGTTGCTCATGGGTTTGCTCTGCTTATCATATATCTAGGTGCAAGAATAACGAGATTTCCAAAACTCACAGTAGTAATTATCATCTGTCATATGCTCAATACGTTACAAAGGAATCTGATCCCTGACGTGCAACAGTCTTTAGGTAGCAGGCCAGCTATACATCCGTACTGGCAGCGAATCTAACTAACGATGGATGTTGCTAGTGTATATATCCCAATCTTTTGCAGAATCATGTGTACAACTACTATAATGCACCTACTTATGATACATGATAGTGTACTGTTTTATAGCTGGACAGTTTCTGATTGTAAAATGTTAAAGTATAATAAATTTCAACTAAAGAGCAGAGATAGGTAATATATGTCAAAACGTTTTTAAGATATATGCAAGCAACCAAAGGAGGCAGGACTCTGTGGTGATTACGTGTTGCGCTGGTACTTCTCTGATGAAGATGGTGGCCGCTGTGCACCATTCTACTATGGTGGCTGTGAAGGAAATAAGAACAACTTTGAAACTTACGAGGAATGTTCCGACTTCTGCTCAGGGGCCCGTACGTACATCATGCGTATTCGATGCCACACTGTTGATTAAATTTAGGGTAGAGTCATTATCATCACATTACTAACTCATCGTTCTGGTCCTTGATAATATAGACAATTGTACGATTAAATTATATTGGTGTAACTTATGTAACTAAAGTGGAACAAATCTAAGAAAGTTTCAACAAACATTGAATATAATTGTAACTTTTACAATTTCAATAACTGTCTAACTGTACGTTATAGCATCTGCAGTAACAAAACTTGCGACGACACCTCCATCTACTGTTGCTCCAACAGAGGCAACGCGGCCTGCAGAGATAACAGCTGGTACATTTCTATATTTTGTAGATATTTTATTTGATTTTTCTTTATTCAAAATAGCAATGAGACAAATGTTTTTATCCTACAATTAATTACATTTGAATGAATAGAGGTTATATCTATAATCTAGATAACTTTGATAAATAGAATGATTAGTTAATTGAATTGGTTCCTATATCTGATCGCTACTATTCCACGACTACTAGCAACAGAAGAGTCGAAGGTGAACACTTCCTCTGTTTCTTCAACTGAGACCACACCAACTACACAATCAACGATGGGTATACATCTGTTTAATGTCGTAGAGGTTGCTGTTTTGCTTCTGTCTTCGTTCGGCTGAGGAATGATGTTTGGTTTCTATTCCTGCTTATCGTTATTAGGTGTGAGTGCTGCTGATTCAGGTTTAGGGATCGCCAGGCGATATCTCCTTACAAATCCTGACCAACTAACTTTACATCAGTACTTGCGTATACCATGCCAAAAAAACATGTGGTACTTTCATGGCTGGTATCCCTTTAATCAATTTCCTTGATGAACCTTCTAAATATATTTTAACCCAGTTTAAATCTAACACCTAGCAACCCTTTTCATGTCTACTGTGTCCGCATAGGTTTTCTACAAATACTCTAGGAGCTGTGGATTACTTTAATATTTTCATTGCTTAGCTATACAATGCCATACAATGCCTAATACTTGGCTTACTTTCGTTGATCGTCAACAGTAGCAAACTCATCTTTTGCCCTTTTGAGGTTTTCCTGGCTACAAAGAGCTACCCTATAGATAACTAACTTTACATCAGTACTTGCGTATACCATGCCAAAAAAAACATGTGGTACTTTCATGGCTGGTATCCCTTTAATCAATTTCCTTGATGAACCTTCTAAATATATTTTAACCCAGTATAAATCTAACACCTAGCAACCCTTTTCATGTCTACTGTGTCCGCATAGGTTTTCTACAAATACTCTAGGAGCTGTGGATTACTTTAATATTTTCATTGCTTAGCTATACAATGCCATACAATGCCTAATACTTGGCTTACTTTCGTTGATCGTCAACAGTAGCAAACTCATCTTTTGTCCTTTTGAGGTTTTCCTGGCTACAAAGAGCTACCCTATAGATTAGCATTGCAACAACGATAGGTTGTTCTACTGACGAATAGCACAGTGCTTGTAGGTGTCATATACCTGTTAGTGTGCTGTGCGTGCTGCGAGGGTTTATCTGCGTAGTACCTGATCATTTATTATGTGAAAAATTTGACTCATTTGCCAATTTTGGAGGCAATGATATGCAGTAGCCTGCAATGCAGAGACCAGTAATTCGCACTTGACAAGTCGCAGTAGTCTTGCTTTGAAGTATGAAAACGTATGGCGCTTAAAAATGAAGACGTTTTTGGATTAAATTACTGAATAAGCTAGATAGGGATTTGTTAAAAATTGTAGATATTTTGAAAACTATCTACACATAAAAATGCAAATATCTGCTTTCAAATTATGAATTTTAAACTCCATTTGGAGTACGTGTGAATGAAAACTGGTCTAGATAAAACCTGGTAAAGTACTTCTGCTGCAGTATTCTTTGTGAGTATACTCTAGTTAACTTGAATGTCTAGGTCACGGAATAAGGTGATTTCGAGCAGTGAGCGTTATGTCTACATTTCAACTGAATATCAAACTAAAACCTGTTAAAACATTTTTAAGATATATGCAAACAACCAAAGGAGGCGGGACCCTGTGGTGTTTACGTATTGCGCTGGTACTTCTCTGAGGAAGATGGTGGCCGCTGTGCACCGTTCTACTATGGTGGCTGTGAAGGAAATAAGAACAACTTTGAAACATACGAGGACTGTTCTGACTTCTGCTCAGGGGCCCGTACGTACATCATACGTATTCGATGCCACACTGTTGATTAAATCTAAGATTGGGTCATCATCATCATGTTACCAACTCATCGTACTGATCCTTGATTAGACATATAATCCCCGAATAACTTATATTGGTGAAACATATATAACTAAAGTGGGACAAATATAGGTAGGTTTTTACCAAAGACGGAAATAATCGTAACATATCTACAGTTTCAATGACCGTGTAACTGTACATTGTAGCATCTCCAGTAACAAAACTTCCAACGACACGTGCACCTACTGTTGCCACAACAGAGGCCACGCGGCCTGCAGAGATAACAGCTGGTACATATTATTTTTTTATTTTGTAGATATTTTATTTTATTTCATCACTATTCCGAATAGAAATGAGACAATGGTGTTTCTTAATCGTACAGTTAATTACATTTTTAATGCGTGTAGGTTATACTTATAATCCAGATAACTTTAGTACATATAGCTTGATCAGTTGGTTCTTATGTCTGATCGCTAATATTCCATGACTACTAGCAACAGAAGAGTCGAAGGTGAACACTTCCGCTGTTTCTTCAACTGAGACCGCACCCTCGACGATGGGTATACATAAATTTAATATCTTAGAGGTTGCTGTTTTGCTTCTGTCTTCGCCTTAGAAATGAAGTTTTGCTGCTTCATCATTATTCGGTGTAAATGCTGTTGCTTATGGTCGCTATGTGACCTTACAAATCCCGGCCGCTAACTAACTATACATCTGTATACTTGGCAGAAACACTGGTAGTACTTTCATGGCTGGTACTTTCAAAATTACATTGCCACATTAAACTGAGGTCCGCTGTTTATTAGTCATTATTTCACAATTTGATTTTTTTCTTTTGATCGCTGGTGTAGTTTATTTTTAACTTCACGCTGGAGAGTTCAACAGAGATTAATGTTAAACAACGGACCTCAGTTTATCATGGTAATGTAATTGTTGGGGGGGGGGAATATATGTTCGGAGATAATTTTCTGGGGGGAGGTAATCGTCCGGGGATCATTTTCTGGGTGGTGCTGTCACCCGCTGTCAGTGAGTAATTGTCCATGGGTAGTTTTCTGGGATAATTGTCCAGGAGGTAAATTGCATGGGGGTAATTGACCGGGGGGGGGGGGTTGTCCTGATACCTCCAAATACCTCATAACACAGTAAAAATATAACGTTGATCTAGTATCCATTTTCATGTTTATCGTGTGCATATGGTTTTTACCACTTAACTAAGACGTATTGATTCATTCAGCCTTTCATTGCCTAACTTAAACCATGCATAATACATAATCGCTTAATTGGCTTACTTTCGTTGTTACTCCTGCTTCTTTTTAGAATTTTTAGAATTTGAGCTATCTAGATTAACATCGCAATCAACTTTAGGATTTTCCGCAGGCAAATATCGCTGTGCTTATAGATGTCATACTTGCTACCGTGCTGTGTGTACAGATAAGATTTTTCTTGGTAATTGTGGCTAGTAGTTTTTATTTATTTTGTATAAATTGAACACGTATGCGATTTTTGGGCAGATTGATATGCAGTGGTATGTAAAGCCAAGCTGCCAATTCGCACTTGACAATAAAGTAGTTTTGCTTTAAAGTAGGAAAACATGCAGTTCAAAGATTTTAAAACATTTTCGCTGAAATTACCTAATAAGATTTTGAAGTTTGAAGTTTTGATAATAATTGTAATTATTTTGAAAAATATACATCTAAATTGTGAATGTTAACCTCCATTTGGATGGTGAATGAAATCTGGCCGACTTAAAAACCCGGACAGATACCTCATCAATATTTCTCATGGCAATACTCTGGCAAGCAGATATATCTACGTGCAAGAATAACGTAACTTTCAGCAATGAGAATAGTAATTAACATTGCCAATACGTTCTGAAGGAATATCACATCTGACAGGTAGCAGACGAATGAAAGATCCGTACTGGCATCGTACCTAACTGAGGATGGATAGGTTGCCAGCGTCTGTATTTTATGTCCTGATATTTGCAGTATCTTGTATGCAAATTCTATAATAGACCAATATATTGTACTTTATAGTTTGAAGTTTTATAGCTGTAAAGCCTTTATATAAAAATGCTAAATCTTGCCATTTTACCTAATTATCAAAGTAAAAAATGTCAAAATATTTTCAAGATATATGCCTGCAATCAAAGGAGACAGGACCCTGTGGAAATTACGTCTTACGCTGGTACTTCTCTGATGAAGATGGTGGTCGCTGTGCACCATTCTACTATGGTGGCTGTGAAGGAAATAAGAACAACTTTGAAACTTACGAAGACTGTTCTAAATTCTGCGCAGGGGCTCGTATGTACATCATACGTATTAAATGTCACTTAGTGTATTATTATTAAATCTACTTTAGAGTCATCAGCGTAGTGTTACAAATGTTTTCATCATTGATCATACAGATACTTGTACGAGTAAATTATATTGGTTAAACATGTAACTAACCTTAATCAGATCTGAGAAAAGTTTAATTAATTAATGTGAGTAATGGTAACATCTAGAATTTCAATAACTATCGCAACTGTACGTTATAGCATCTCCAGTAACAAAACTTGCGACGACACCTCCATCTACTGTTGCTACAACAGAGGCCACGCGGCCTGCAGTGAAAACAGCTGGTACATTTCTTTATTATTTTGTAGATATTTTATTTGTTTTTATCATTATTCAGAATAGCATTCAGACCAAAGATGTTTCTTTATCACACTGTCGTTAATGCATATATAGGTTATAGCTGCAATCTAGATCATTTTAGTATATTCCATCTTTACTAGCAACAGAAGAGTTAACGACACAGACACACACTTCCACTGTTTCGTCATCTCAGACTACGCGACCAACACTCTCCACGATGGGTATACATATGTGTAATGTTTTAGAGGTTGCTTCGTCGTCTGCTTCTGCTTCGTTATACATTCGGCCTGTGAATGACGTTTGATTTCTAATGCTGCTTAGTGTGAATACTGTTGAATCAGGCTTATAGGGTCGCCAGATGAACTTCTTACAAATCGTGGGCAACTAACTATACATCTGTAGATGCATTTACATTGCCAGAAACTGGTGCTACTTTCATTGATTGCTATTACCTTGAATTAATCACTTGAAGGACAACCCAAGTACCAGGTAGTCCAGGTATAATTCTCGCACCTGACAACCTAGCTATTAACGTCTCCCGCGTGCGCATACGTTTTCTGAATATGCTCAGTTGTGGACTCCCTTGCAGTCCACACTGCCTAGGTTAACACGTAGTTACTTCTTTGCCTTACTTACTTCTGTCGTTTTTTCTGCAGGTGCCGTCTGCATTTAAAAGGTTCAGTTACTTACAGAGCTATACACCGATTAGGGTTGCAAACAACTACGTTTCTACATACGGAAATACCTTGTATTCCTGTGACATAATGAACTGCTGTATTAGTAGAGCTATTAAACATACTAGTGTGCTGTGTAGAACTGCTTATGCTTAAATATTTAGTATTTACGTTTTTTGAGTTGCGTTTGAGTAACCAGATTTATATGGAATGCTCCACTCAGTCCTGAGGCCAAATTGTCTCAAATGAGCGCGAACAACTTTGTCATAACCCGAACGCAGCAAAGTTGATATAATTTTGATCCCAACCCGATCTCAGAATAACTTATTTCGATTGGTTGAGGTGGAGTGAGAAGAACTCACACACCTTTTGCATACTGTGTTTCAGCACTGTTTTTTCGACGTAGAGTGTGACAATAACGGGATTTCTTGTCACTGTATTTGATATGTGTATCTGCAACATGTGTATACTATATTTGGAACGTAATGATTTAATGTTTTATAGCTGCGAAGTTTTTAAATGAAAAATATTAAAATACAAATATCAGCTAAATATCAGAGATGATCTTTTTTAAGATATCTGCCAGCAGCCAAAGGAGGCAGGACCATGTGACAGCTATGTATTGCGCTGGTACTTCTCTGATGAAGATGGTGGCCGCTGTGCACCGTTCTACTATGGTGGCTGTGAAGGAAATGAGAACAACTTTGAAACACATGACGACTGTTCTAACTTCTGCTCAGGCAGCCGTATGTGTCTTTATTTCATGACGTAATGTAAATTAATTCTATAGCTTTTAGGTATAATAATACAATTAATGTCACCTCATTGCTCCTTGATATTACAGATGGATCTCTGTAGCCAAAATGTTGGTGAATTTTCAAGTAGTCTAGTAGTCTAGTGATCTATAGAACAGTAGCACATTATTCATTTATTCATTGTAGCACCTCAACCAACAACACAACCAACTGCACCTACGTCTACTTTTGCTGAAACAGAGGCCACTTTGTCTACAGTCGCAACTGGTACATATGTATACAGTAAATCATAATATAGAAAATAGAATAAGGTGTTCATTTTTTTTCATTTTGCGAGCTTTGGAGAACAGTGTCTTTTCCTGAGGCTATACAATAACACCTTTTCTATTTTTCTATATTTTGATTTTCTATATCTACATGGGTGTCCTCAAGCAAACGATTATATGTGTCTATGTGTGTGCGTGAGCGCCTTCCACTGGAGATAAGTTTGTGGCAAAATTATTGGTGTGTAATGTTATAGTTTTATAGTTAAGTTTTCGTTATAAAATTGTAAACGCGGTATGGTGGTTTTTCCTGACATGCAAATTAAACGTGTAGATATCAAGAGGCTGGTTACTTGACCAATACATTTCGTTGGCAGATATGTTTTGGTGAACTCCCTTTTTTCTAGAAATCAAGGGTTTCATCTTTAAAATATACATTTTATTAAAAAGCATGATAGTCCCATATCATTTCATCAAAGTTCGTTATTTCTTCCAAATATACGTAGATCCCAAACAATTAAGTAGCACTCTCCCTTTTGTTAAATTATTTGTCTAAAACACTGCATAATTGTCATGCGTGTTCAACTTAGATATTCGTCATATTAACCAGGATTAAAAATTGCTTCGTGTCATCGGTCGGGAAATGCGCTTTCTTATTTATTTATTCCCAAAAGATTATTATTTATCTAATGTAGATACCTCACGCAACATCGTTTATGGTGTGATAACGTCAAGTAGTTTGCTTATTTATTATCATATAGCTTGAAATAATGGGAAAAAATTGTTTGCGTTATGAAATTTTACATAACCTTTTCAAGATTGTATCCCTTCCGTAACATTGTGGATTGTTGTTACCGGTAAGATATGTTTACCGTGCACAGTTTTATCATTTTTGTTGCAAACCCACAGTTATTCATAACATATTCTGTCTTTCTGCAAATTTCAACAAATTAACATATATGATACGAGTGTAACCTCACCTTGCAGAAGCTACTGATGCAGCGACACTGCTCGTGACATCTTCAGTTGTTGTTGATGATAGTATGTCTACGGATTCAGGTGTCATCTCTGGTAATTTACTGATAGCTGTCTTGTCCGCTTTTTACTAATTTTCTACAGCTAGTGTCGTATTTTGCAGTCGCAGCTGATCTTTGCTTAACTAAACACAAGGTGCAAAGCATTAGCGATAATAATCTTTGACTGTTATTTACATTAACCATAATAGTATATAGACAATGGGTAGTCACGACTGTGAATAGACATGGTATTGTCATTGCCTGTGTACATAAATAACTCGCCTTGACTGCCAATGTGTATAATTAATTAAGTTATTTATTCAGTTATTTACAATTTTACAGCAATACATATTATGAATGGAATACTTGGCAGCTTGCAATAAACCTGCTTCGCTTTTACTGCTGCCATTTCAGCAGGCACTATCACAGCTGAAACATGTTTTTACTGGCTTTAAGGCTAACACTGCAGTATATTGCTTTTGTGAATAACAATTTTAGGTGGAAATTATGCTGCTAAGTTGAAGCTTTTGGCAATGTTCACACAGATAATTTCCACATCTTTGAGTACTGATTCACTGCTACTTAACTACTTGTATTTGCATATCATGTCATCTTTCTGGACAATAGATAGTCTGCTTTAGATAGCACTTACTTTGATTGAAAGCGATCAGTTCTATCTGCATCCATGTTCTTTCTTATTAAGGAAATTGCAACAACAGTTCTCCAGTGAAATTTACATTTAATGCTCTTGTCTGAGGGTTCGCCAATTCAGTGGTCTCGTAATCCTGGTAGACTAATATACCACTTGGATCGGGACATCTATCAGATATCCACTGATCTAGATATCTAATATGTCATCCGATCCTGTGTAGAGGGTCCAGACATGGTGACAGAGGGAGAAGAAATCCAACAGACGACTTTCCCCTCAGAGAAGGAACTTGGGCAATATGGTAAATAGCTGGGTGGTCTGCCGTGTGTCAATAGACGGGACTCGCTGCGTGCGAATAACTCTAGAAATATAGTCTATGCTAATATAAAAATGTTATCTTATGCCATATGATAGATTTCTACGCAGCTATATTATGCTGTTCAGCACATGACCGTGTAATAGACATATATACAAAAGATAAAAGCTGGAGTCACGTTATTTCCAAAACTGTCAGAATGAAGAATAATTGATTGTATAACAATAAACACGAAAATAAATTGGTGTCTTTAATTCTAAGAGATCTGCCAGCAACCGAAGGAAGGTGGACCCTGTTACAATTACGTGTTGCGCTGGTACTTCTCTACTGAAGATGGTGGCCGATGTGCACCGTTCTACTATGGTGGCTGTGAAGGAAATAAGAACAACTTTGAAACCCATCAAGGCTGTTTAGACTTCTGCTCAGTAACCAGTATGTGACACCGCGTGTTTATAAATATATATATGTGCTTATGCTTCGCCTGCTGTGTTCGTATGTTCATCGTCAATTTTAGGTGTGACAGTAACCATGTGTTCGCTTTTGAGTCGTCTAGACTAATCAACTAGTGGTGAAGCTCTGGTAATTAATTACTCGTGACTACGAGTGTGTACATTGCACCGGTGCAGAGGTTCGCTTCTCTGTTTTCGAACTTTAATGTGTGCTGTGGATGTGCGTTGTATGCCCACAGCCCATTGTCGCTCCGGTAGCACAATTTGCCGTTGAGACAACTCTCCTCCATCCTACATGTGCAAAATATCCCACTATCGTGTATCCTGCTAAATAATGACATTGAGTTTAACTCATATGCTTTATGAAAGGGCTGTTTGTACTCTTATAGCTGAAATAATTGCTCTTTGCCACTGGCTGATCTCCTCTACGTATATTTTATCCTGCTTTCATGTTGTTGGTTGTAATACAAGTGGTCGACCGTTCCTGTACGTGTTGGCCAAATGACAAGAAATTAATAACTATTAGTTCTAGTTACTGCTTTTTTCTAGGTTTTTAAAACCAATTAGAGAGTTGATCTTAATTTCTATCAACTTCTACCCATTTGCATGTTACCTGGCTACATAGTTAAATATTGTTTTTATTCAGCGTGTTTGGGAATTTGTTTTCATTCTGAATTTTCTCGTTTGCATTCGTGGTCAATTTTTACTACGTCCTTTTGAATGGACGCAGCATTCCGGTCTGAGAGCATGTACGAGTAATGTGTTCTGTTGTAAGCATGGTAACATTATTGATAAAAATGCAATGCAATATTCCAGCACCGCTGCCTAGTGAATCGCCTTTGACACACACCACTTCTGCTACTGAAATTGAGACCACAACCCAGAAAGTTACTACAGAGGGTACTACAAGTATATTATCGGCTTGTTTTGCAGATCGTTGCTGCAGTTATAGCTGTGTGTTTTAGTCTAGCATAGTCAACTAATAAGAGTCAGTTACTGATGCTTGCAGCTTGACCTGCGACCCTTCTGCAACTTCTGTCTTCTTTCGATGAATATAATCATGTCTTGCAGCTAATTAATGCTTTCTATCTGTTGGTGCTGGTGCTGCCGATGATGATGATGATGATTATTATTATTATTATAATGATGGTGATGGTGATGGTGATGGTGATGGTGATGGCAGTGGTGATGGTGGTTGCAGAGGTCGTGGTGGCGTTGAGAGCAGTAGTGGTGATGGGGGGTGATGATGGTGGTGCTGGCAGCAGTGGCAACATGGATAGAGGTGGTTGCAGCATGCAGTGGCGGTGGTGACGGTGATGGTGATGCTGGCAGAAGCGGCAACGGTGGCAGTAGTGGTAGTAACGTTGAACGCACCATTGGCAGTGGTGAGGGTGTCGGTAGTGGTGGTGGTGGTGGTGGTGGTGTGGTGGTGGTGGTGGTGGTGGTGGTGGTGGTGGTGGGTGTGGTGGATGGTGGTGGTGTGGGGGTGGTGGTGGTGGTGGGTCGGGTGGGGTGGTGCGTGGTGGTGGTGGTGGCGTGGGTGGTGGGTGGTTGGTGGTGGGTGGGTGGTGGTGGTGTGGTGGTGTGGGGTGGTGGTGGTGGGTGGGTTGGTGGTGGTGTGTGTGGTGGTGGTGTGGGTAGGGTGGTGTGGTTGGTGGGTTCGTCGTCCGAGTCGTCTGTCCGGTCCGTCGTCCGGTCGTCCGCGTCCGTCGTCCGGTCGGCGTCGAACGCAATGGATGGCGTGGTATCACAGTGGTGACAGTGGTTGAAGAAGGCATACATGCAGTTGCAAAGTAATTGCAATAACTTTTTTAACAAAAGTTAATCATATACCATAAAGTTACGCTAATGCTTATAGCCTGGTACTAATAACTCTTATATATTGTTCTATCAAATCTTGTGTCATTGTCGAAGTAATATTTTAAAATGCTACATCAACGCAGAGTGTGCACCGTTCCAGATTAAATAAGAGATATTATCTGCTTTAGTTGTATAGTTTTGTTTGCTTGTGTGGTAACTTACTTATATGACATGCCGCACACTTGGACGGAAGAGTTTGGGTGCCTTTCTCTGCCTTCTTCAGACACCTAGACAACAGCGCCGTAGACCAAGTTGCCTACATCTAGTGG